AAAAAAATAAAAAAGATACAATGGGGAAAAACCCATAATGCATGGGAATGATAGTATGAAACACAATGTGAATGAAGAATAGTGTGAAACACAATGTATACAAACTTTGTAAGCAAACCAATATAAAATAAAAATTTAAAAAACTCCAATTGACTCTATGTTGGATATGAGTGTAGGAGAGTATCTTTACCACACTCTTGTTATTTTCAGGTGCCATGGAGTTGTTTCTGAGTCATGTGACCCTAAGTACAACAGACCAGAACACCACCTTGTTCTATGCAGTCATCAGTTATTTCTATGTTGGTGCCTAACTGTTGCGGCCACTTACTGTGTTAATCTTGAGGGTCTTCATTTTTTTTCCACTGACCTTCTACTGTACCAAGCATGGTGTCCTTCTCCAAGAACTGATCCCTCTTGATAACTTGTCCCAAGTATGGGAGATGAAGTCTCACCATCCTTTCTTCTATTTCGCTGTGGTTGGGCCATATCCTTTGGGACTATCCCACTCCTAAACCACTTTGCACCATCTTGGAGTACTTTCTAAACTACTGGAACTTTAAGCTGATCTCGATTTTCCCAGCTCCTCAGCTGATCCAGGTAGTTGTTAGGTGTTTTCAGGTCGATCCAGGTAGGGTGGGTGGGAATAAGTTGTTTCCAAAATTTCTTCCCCAGTACATGTGCGGGTAATTCCAGGTTCCATGTATTTTCATTCACTGGGAAACAATGGTGAGGCCCCAAAATGCTCTGGGCTCAATGAAAAAGGCCATTGAGGACACTCTCTGTGACTCATATGTAGCCTCTCTATAGTGGGACCCTAAACCATTCCTACAAGATAGCCTGTCCCCAAGTACTTGCTAAGTCCTCTGGGTCCAAGAATTCTTCTTCTGTTTTAGGCAATGACACAGTTTTGACTTTTTATAATATGAATAAGATAAAATACAATAGATCAATTAGGGCACACAGTGTGCATTGTAGTTATTGACTGGTTCATTCAGTCACAGTTGGGAAGTTAGTATCAGAGTTCTAGGGAATTGTTTACAAAGGAGCTATTTGGCAGCTGTATTTTATTTTGACTGTAGCCATCTCATTTCATCGCTGTGCTTGGTTTTTTTATAACAATGAGTTTTAATAACGATAATTTGGAAATTTATTGACTTAGGTTTTAGAAGCTATTCAGATTTAAACTTGTTAGTTTTTATTTATTTTGTTCAAGGAATTTATTTTTAGCTTCCATCCAACAACACAGTATTGGATTAGTTTTTACCCCAAGAAAAAGAACCTGTCATTGAAAACATAAACAATGAATTATCTTTTCCCAAAGAAATTATTTGTTTAGAGTTCATTCTTTGGAAACCTGCATTTGCTTAAAAACACATCATATAATAGAATATCAGACTGTGGTTTTAAATTGACTTTGGGGAGAAATTTGCATTGTAGAGGAAAGTACCTAGGTCTCAATAAATGTTTGGCTTTGCCATTTGCTAGATGTGGCATTTGGGCACATTTATCTACAGAGGGGAGGAGAGGACAATAATACTTACATCTCAGAGTTGTTGGAAATCTTGGCTCTGAAGTGCACAGGTTATGGCAGTGGTTGTTGTTGTTGTTAGGTACCATCGAGTCAAGTATGACCCACAGTGACCCTGTGAACAACAGATCTGAACCCTGTCCTATCCTGAGCCATCCTCACTATCTCTGACA